TTATTCCTCTGTATATTTTTGGTCTTTTCTGTCCCTTGTTAGAAAATAGGAATTATTAGTTCACTTCTCCATTAAACTAGAATTTTTCCAATGAAATATCCTTCATTCACCAATTTTAATACAGTGGACTCAGGTTAATTGGGACACATCAGGACTAGAACACCTTGGCCCAATTAAGTGGCTGCCCCGATTATGCAAAGTTCCACGTAAAAAGGTAAAAAGGTTTGTTCTTTAAGATCTGTCCCAAATAAATGGCTGCCCCAATTAACCAATGCCCAATTAACTGGTATCTACTATAGTTTTAATTTAAATTCCTTTGTTGTTTATTTACACTGTTTTGTCTTCTCCAGGATCTTTAATTTTTTTCACTAAAACTTCTGTTAATTTTTTATCTGTTACTACCGTATCTTCATCTTTTGCCTCATTTATGTTCTTTCATAAAAATTTCTTCATATCTGGTCATCATAAATTCTATTCAGCCTTCTTTTAGGCTTAAAAATAATGATAAATTCCTGTTGATAAGCAACTAGCTTCTTAATGAGTAGTCAAGTCTACCATGTACACCATGTTGGTACTACCAATTGTGGGAAACTAAAACCTATGATTTTGGGGTGGTATTCAATGGCATAACACCCACACCAAATTTAATCAAAATCCACCAGAGATGAAAAGTGCAGACACACAGGCATATGGACAAACATGATCAGCCTTATATATATATTTATTTTGTGCACATCATGAAAAGAATGCATAATAATCACTACAATAGAACATTCAGGGTATGAAGTTGCATGCCAATGTGGTACTATAATAACAATAAAGAATAAAGCTTCACAAATGTTCTAAGAATAAGTGATCATATTTGTGAGGTTTACATATAATTTGATTGAACATTCCTTTAAAAACAGCCATTCTGGGCAGAACTCATAAAGTCTACCTGTCTACTATACAGACTTCCTCCCAGACCCACAAATCTTATGCTGTTAATGTACATGTGCATACACTCATACACAATAAGAGATAAATAATAAAATGCAATTTAGCTCATGGACTGACATTCTCAGTTCATACATTGATGGCCACAAGATTAAACCCTACATGAGTCTGAAATTTATTTTTGCAATTGTAAATATATTATAAAGGCAAAGGGAAGGTGTGGAGAAGTAGCAATAGTAATAGTAGTAGAAGCAGCAGCAGTAGAGTAACAGTATTCTTTTTTGGGGGGGAGGGGGGAGGAATTTATTACTAAAGTACAGTCTGTCTACATTGAATTTATTGAATTTGTCAGATATAACCTCTAAGATTAGTACCCAGGCAATGCTTGCAACTGTTAAATAACAAACAATATTTCACATATAAACCGTAGAAATATTACAATATACAGCAATATTTCACTAATTTTGACCCTCCATAATTTAGACTATCTTCTCTTCTTTACATATTTCACTGACACAGAACGGCTAAGGAAAGTGCATATAGTGTCTAATTTGTACTGAAAACAACAAAATTTTCCATTTTTTTTAGAAAGAACACCAACATAAATTAATATTTGTTTTGAATATAAACATTTATATAAAATGTTATTATTCTTGTCATATCCTTGTCTTAACACCATCTGAGTTAACATATGTTCCTGGACTGTGAATAAATTTTTTATTGCTATCAAACAGAGTTAAACCAAATTTTCATATGACCACCATGATGTTGTTACAATATTTGTTTGATACAGTGCTCCAAATTAACAGAGGTCTGGGATAGTCAGTAGAGTTAGTTGAAATGTTAAATACAAAATTGTTTCTGCCCTGTAACCAAAGACTAGTAAGAATTTTTTGCATGGATAAGGTCCCATTTTGAGAAACATCCCTCAAAATGCATTTCTTTAAAGCTCGCAGTGTAAACAGAATGTTTAAATCGTATATTTTTATCCCCCTGACCAACTAAACAAAGAATATTCTGTATTATAGCTTTTCAAGACACCCTATGGCTATATGTCTTACCTAGTGGGCCTGAGGAAAAATATAAAATGTAACAGACGAGATAACCTGAATATGATACACGTATGCAGACCACCACATCGCAAAATCCGTTAACAGGTTGACAATGCAGGAATTCTATATATGCACATATGAAAACTATGCGCCTGCTAATTCTGAATATTATCAAGAAATCAACTAATTGCAGTGTGTATTCGTGGTCTACATGCACAATTACAATGTTAAATGAATATACCTTCCTGAAATTTAAATTTCGGTGGCATCTCAACTTTCTCCCCAGTTGAATAGGGTAGAGGTTAGACACGTCCAACAGAATGTTTCCTATTCTTGCAGCCCTTAAAATTCAACGGAGAACTACTTTTACCGCACTAAATACAGAATCACCGTCACTTCACAATAATTCACATTTCTCTTCCTCTACGAAAGAATAAACGTACACAAACAGTAAACAAAACTTTTCATGGGGTGGTCTAAATCACTATAGCCATATGCAGTCACCATTGCCAACTTCTAAGGCACTGTTGACAACAAATCTAGTATTATCTGTACCTGTAAGAATGTAACATAGGCATCGTTTGTGGGACGGATTAGTATGGCTAGGCAGCAATCCGTAGTCCAGATTTTATTGAATTAGAATAGAATAGAACTTATTTACATTCCACAGACCCTTCATAGGTGTAAGCCAATGATGCAGACCATTTCATAGCACAAATACAATACTTTCTTGTTTCTAATAGTTATAAGTTACTACTATTAATACAGAGCTTACAAATTCATGAACAGAAATTAAAGTGAATCTGCAGGTATCTTTTTATGCTTTGAAGCTTAAGCATATCAGTAATATTTGAAAACGCAGTTCTTATCTAATATGTATTAAAACTGGTTATGCAGACAGTACTGTCTACACAACCAAATGCCACTACTAGTTTTTTGTTGGATCTATGTGGACTTCCAAGTATCTTCAAATTTTTTGTTGTGTAATTGTATCCTGCAGAGAATCTCATTTAATTAATCTCTGGTGTCTTAAATATTGAAAAAAATTTGTGTTTGAACTAAATTTGGTTTCATAACAATGTTCAAAATATGCAAAAATGTAATAATTTTTAAGTTATTTTCGTTTTCAAATTAAATTTTAAATTAATTCAATATATTTATTTGTTTGCTTGTTCTAATGTTGTATTCTATATTAAAACTTGACTTCTGATTCAAACCTATCCTATAAATGCTATTACATCACATTTTAGTAGACATTTTCATTCTGAACTCTGATGCAACATTGTGTAAATTATACTCTTTATGTTATGTGAGTCTAATATAAGCATCCAGTTATCTGCATACAATAATGTATTAATTAAAATCATCATTTATTTCAATTCCATTTTCATGCATCTGGTTCCAATAAATAATCATTTCACTTTGTCTGCTTTGAAATTAAGAATCTGACAAACCCTCCTTGTAAAACACATCTCCCATGTTATTAAAATGACTAACTTGTCAAATGCCCTGTGAAGTTGACCACTTTTATATGCACGACACACATAACGATCAAATAGTTAATACTGAAACCAACAAAATTCATTGTGTTGTACAAATGGATAGTTGTATGATATGGAGTACATGGCAGCTTCAAAAAATTCTGGGACAGAAGCAAATGCAGTTTTTGTGGCAGATAGGTTGGAGACTGTTCATGCATGTTGAGATATGCACAGCAACAACACACAGTGGAATTATTCACTTCCCATATACTTAAAATGTCCCACAGGTTAGTTTATCCCATAGAAGGTTCAAAGTTGTGAAAAAGACTGCCTGAACAGTGGGCTAACATAACATTTTGTCAGTTATGGGGCTACTGTGACAGAAATGTTGCTGATGGTTTGGACTGAAAGTAGCAAAGACTATCAAAGTGTTTGAGTAGTATCACAGGATCAGTGACACTCATGGAATGTTGGAAGATGACATATAACAGACATCCTACAATACTGTAATATGAAACAGGAACAGGAGGTTCATGTATATTGTTTACTTATTTGTTTACATAACGATGCTGTCATTAGCTCAAAATAAAAGTGTTGAGTGTCAGATCATACACATAACTGCAAGAAAGATGGGATTTCAATTGGTCATTACTATAATATCCTTAATAAGGAAATTAAAATGAATCATGTCTAACAACACATATCAACTGAGACCAGAATCAAGGAGCACCAGCACATCTAGCGGGAGCATCTAGATAAGTCCACTGTGGCCAGGCCACCACAATCCTGTCCACCAAATCCAGATATGTAGACTGGATGATCAGGGAGGGCATCGAGAATGAGCTACATCTGAACAAGAACAGGAATGGCCCTCGCCTGAGCCAGTCATGGGAGCCCCTCAACCACTCTCTCAAAGGACAGCAAACATCTGATACAGCATTGCCCTGCCCAGGGCACTACACTGTCCTTTTCAGTATGCAATCTGGCCCCAGTCAGTCCTTATTTCCACTCTACTTGTTCCTCATCAACTCCACCCACCTCTTATGTCCGGTGATCCACCTGCCAGACTCCGAGGGACCCTTATAAGGGCTGATTTCTCAGACCTCTCTGTTATGTCCTTTCCCCTCCTGTTGGCCCTCACCCAATTCTGACTCCAGTTGCTACTGGTCAGGCCAAGGCTGTGCCTTCACTGTCAGAATCATATAACTCAAACCATTTCCATGCATGTGGCTTACACATTGCCCAGATGATGGAGGCAGCAAGCACCTCTGAAACATTGGCAAACTTCTACCAGACTACAACCCAGAAGACAGCCATCTTCAGACTCACCAGTGTGAAAACCTCAAATCCTAATAATAAAGAGGGATCCACTGTATTTTGATGGCAAACGTAGAAAAGAGCTGCCAACTATTGCTGTATTTGAGTCATGGGTAACACACAATGCAGACATATTTTACAGATGTTTCCTATATACTGACTGGCCTCTGTCAGTATAAAGGAATTTATAAACAATTATAAGTAATATGCAGTTTAATTTATTTAATTTTACAATGTCAGAAAGGGTGTTACATACCACATGTTAGGATTAACATAAACAAGTTTATAATTCTTTAGTTTTAAAATTAAACATCACCTTCAAGTAAAAAAGTAAAAGTAAAGTTTGTCCCACTATACGCCTTGTAGGCGTTTGGGGTGAGTGGAGGTATAGCTCCTCTCTTCCTTGACCTCGGCACTAGATGGGGGTGAGTGGTCAGCATCACGCCCCGGCTGGCTTTACTCCCAGGAAAGGACCCCGGTACCCATTGTAGAGGAGGCTGGGTGGGCCCCAGAGCCGGTCTGGACGCAGAGGCTAGAGGAAAAATCCTCTGCCCCCGTCGGGGATCGAACCCCGGTCGTCCAGCCCGTAGCTAGTCACTATACTGACTGAGCTATCCCGGCTCATCACATCACCTTCAAGTACCCCATGAATATGACATTCAGAAGTACTGTTATTAATTTTGAAGAAAAGACCACATGGAAGAAGTTCTTTGGATAGCACAGTATTTTCAGATTAATTGTCTGACAATGCTATTCTTAGCCACTATTTCAAGAAGTACACTGACAAAATTGTTACAATTTATGTTAACTTGGTGACTATTCAATTTAATCCCTTCCTGTTTTAAGACAACTTTCTTCTGGAATGCTGTGCTGTGTAGTTTTTCAGAGGCAAGTACCTCTGAAATTTCAGTAAACTTACACCAGACTACATGGTGCAACATTCCATCAGACAATCATCTTCATACTTACTGCCATGACAACCTGAAATGTCACCTTCCTGTTTTTCTTGTTTACAGTACTTAAGGAATTTCACAATGCCTATGGGGATAGTAATTTTTCATGATGAAAGTAACTAATGCTTTAAATATCATATGAAGGGGAATACACACAGACTATTAAAAATGAACAGGAACAATTACTGCCTGAGATTCAAACTGCAATATGGTGTTAAAACAACATGCTTTAACATCCTTCTCTGCTGACTACAATTAAGCATACCTGTACTGTGCTTACTACTAATAAATAAAAGCGAAGTATGTACATTGAACTTTTAAACACAAAATTGTTAATTAGATCTTCTAATTAAACTGTTAACAAATAGCAATTGCAATTACTTTTTGTCCATTCAACTTAAAGTAAATATGGGAAGACAAAGTGTGATCCAACTTACATTTAGCTGTAGAGACCTTATTACTGTGTAGTATAAAGATATACAGTCATTTCCATATGCAGGTATGTTTTCAAAAACAGTGAGAATGAAGAGTTAATTTTCCATATGAGGCTTAAACTCCCAGATGACAAAAAATATATACGGATATTATTCATATGAAATGTTTACATAACTAAAGTACCTTTGTTCTGAGAACAACCAATTGCCAGATCAGAATTTAAGCCCCTAAACTAGAACTGATGATATTACAATATGCTGATTGGTCAGGGTTAGGGCACACCTCATGGCATAATGACAGAGGATTGTGGAGTAGTGGTGGAGTGATGCTTAGCATTGGGAAAACCAAAGAAATTGGAGGGAAACCTGTTCTACTGTCATTTTGTCAACAAAGAATCAAGTCACCCAGGTCTCCATGGTAGAATCATGAATCTAGCCACCTGAGCTGTGCCATGCCTGAAGTTTATATAAATGCATCGAATGCTGTCAACATTCTTGAGAGATATTGTGTGTCACTTTCCATCAACTTCATGTCATCACCTGGTATGTTGTCCATTGTGACAACTTTAAAGTTAGAATGACATAAATGAAGAAGTAGATACATGTTCTTCAACTGCTTTACACCAAAATAAATAAATGAAGACCTTGTAAATGGAGAAATGACTGCACACTGGACAATTTTTTATCATTTAAGATAAGCATATCCTTTTATGTATTGAGTACTGACTCCACAGCCATAATGAAACACAACATGTAATTCAAAGTACATATAAATAAGTAATTGCCACCTATCTACTCGATTGTTCAGTAATATGAAAACATTAAACTGAATGGAAGTCTAATTAATGCAATGCTTAGTACACAAATACTATTTTTTTGCATTGCTTGTTGTACTTTAACAGTAACCTACAAGTGAGACATCATATGCCAGTACAGACAACTAATAATTACACTTTGTAATGTTAAATTATATATCCTCATGAAACAAGATTTAGAAGTCACGCCTCCCATTACATTCAAATACTTTTTGCTGTAGTTCACTGGGCACTCACTAAACACCAAGATGGGGGCATTTCTTTTTAAGGATAAAATCTAGATAGCTTGAGGTTTTCATCCTTGTCTATTACTTACCTTTCTGAAAGGATAATGGCAAATAAATGCTGTAAACAGCTTCCTCACAAAACTCTTTATAACATAGTTCTTCATATGATAAAGAATATCATTTTGTGTCTAAATTACCAAGTTATACAAGCAATAACTATGCACAGAGTTTACCTACAACAAAATCTGAATATCTATGGAAGTTTCACTGACAAGGAGACAGTGAAAAAGACACTTGTTAAAGTAAGATAACAGTAAATCTATAAAATAAAATGCTAATGATACTAAAAAATAATGGAAATGGGAAGAAACCAGGCAGCATTGAAACAAAGGAAAAGTACATGACAAAGATACAAATCGTTGCAGAAATCATTAAAAACAAAGACAGTTAGTAAGAAAAAGAATTCACTACGGAAATTCTTTCTCTTCAAAAAATACTGATGTCAAGTGCAATAAGAGCCATTTTCTCTGGCTTATGTTTAACCCATCATGTCTTGCTGACCTGGGAAGATAGGACTGAAATTTGAGGTGTACAAGTCTACACATACCTGACTCAGATCTTAACTAACAAGTCTGTTTTTGTAGCTTTTATGCTATCTATAAAATGATAAACTGATTCTAATACTACTAAATGGGGAAAACTCTTAATGAGCAGTGCTCCACAGCATGTCATAATTTGTAGGAAAATTATTACAATGAGACACGAATTAACGTGTAACTGCACTGAGTGGATGTTATATAAATTTGAGTGAAACAAATTATAAATTCATATCTATGAATGTTTACTCACAAGATAAAATGAAAGGGTACATGATGAAACTGTTTGAACCAATTTGAGCAGCCAATATACATTCTTAGTGCAACACTCTGAATTTATGTAATTTTATTTTGATCCTCCTGGTGTTTCCTTTCATCTCATACAGAATTTTAACTTTTCCTAAAAGTGTTACGGAAAAACATGGTTCTCAATTACATTCCTTACATGGTTATATTTTTATACCATTTATTTCATGATATAAGTTTAAGACATTGTTCTCATAATTTCCACTGAGCTGCATGAACATTTAGCCTGAAACTTCAGCTCTGAAAAAAATTCTAATTACTCTACCCTTGTTCCCAATTTTGCAAACAAGTTCACTTCTATTTATTCAAAAAACATGAAGCTCATAACATTGGGCACGTTAGAGGACAGCAGTATTATGTAATGACAGTGCCAACAGTTCTGGCATTTTGAATCAATACCTAAGGACTCTGTTCCTTATCAGGAAACAGTAAAATTTCACATTTTACTAGTTTACTTTGGATGTTGGCCACGCTGACCATAGTTTATGTTGTAATGCTGGTAACTTGTGCCATATCCCATGTATGAATAACCTCTGATGGGACGCCCACGGTAGCCCACATTCCTAGATGATGCTGTAATTTCAGGCATATCCTGAGATGTCTTGAGTGCACTAAATAAAGTGGACTTTGGAACAAATGGAGGTACTTTGTCCCACAGACTACACAGTGCTTCACCTATAGTGGGTTCAATCTCCTGCAAGAATCAAAAAGAAATATTGTGTTAACAATTCATTTAGGCCACATTATTTTACATAAATATACCCAGCAGTATGTAATTCTTGGATAACAGAGGTTAAGTTCCACTTCAGCATAAGCATCTCACTCTGAAGGCCCACAACTGGCACAGGAATAGAACTTAAAGCATTCTATATCATGATGCTAGATAGAAATAAAGGATGAACTTAAACTTCTGAGTACTTGACATACGAATAAATATCACTTTAAAACAATAAAAGTATCAAATTAGCAAAGTCAGGGAATCAAAATTTGCGTATTTATTTGTATTCTGAGACATCTATATAATGGAGATAAACCTAAATCTAAGACAAGGGATTTCAGAGAAATCATCTGAAGAATAGAAGTCTGGTTCATAATGTTGCATCATGACAATGTTTATGCTCTCTATAAGGGAATTCTTGATTATGAATGATAATACAATGGCATTCTATTCACCTCATGTGCTTTAGGACCTAGAAATATTTTTCTGTTCCATACATTGAAAAATACTTAAAAAGGAAAGATTATAGGAATTGCCAGACATCATACATAAAGCAACACAGGAAATGAATAACACCCCAAACAAAGTTATAGAGGTGCTTCAACAAAGCACTGGACTGCAGAAACCACTGTGTTAGTCAGGAGAAGACTACTTTGACGGGGCCAAATATAATTAAGAAATGTTACTTTTAGTTGTTAAAATCTGCATATAATTCTGCATTAGGGCTGATTTTTTGTGGAAGCTATTAAATTATTTTGTATTTAGGAAAGAAGAATAAAATTTATCTGACAAATTAAATTTTTTGTATTCACAATTGGTACATTTTTTAAAACCTTCTCACTTCTGATTTTTTTAAAATGTCCAGGGGGAAGGCAGGCACAGAGGCCTAGTTTGCCCCTTCTAAGGCAGTAACAACAGGCACATTTTCTAGCAAAAACCTGAACCAGTCACTAACATGTTCACAGTCTCTGCTCAAAAGCTTACTGTAGGGGACATGTTGATATGACAAAATTACCTACAGTTGAAGATATCCGTCTTCTGGGTTATTGTGCTGTGTAGTCTGGTCGATGTTAACCAACGTTTCAGAGGTCATACTGACGGAGGCAGTATGACCTCTGAAACGTTGGTTAACATCGACCAGACTACACAGCACAATAACCCAGAAGACGGATATCTTCAACTGTAGGTAATTTTGTCATATCAACATGTCCCCTACAGTAAGCTTTTGAGCAGAGACTGTGAACATGTTAGTGACTGGTTCAGGTTTTTGCTAGAAAATGTGCCTGTTGTTACTGCCTTAGAAGGGGCAAACTAGGCCTCTGTGCCTGCCTTCCCCCTGGACATTTTAAAAAAATCAGAAGTGAGAAGGTTTTAAAAAATGTACCAATTGTGAATACAAAAAATTTAATTTGTCAGATAAATTTTATTCTTCTTTCCTAAATACAAAATAATTTAATAGCTTCCACAAAAAATCAGCCCTAATGCAGAATTATATGCAGATTTTAACAACTAAAAGTAACATTTCTTAATTATATTTGGCCCCGTCAAAGTAGTCTTCTCCTGACTAACACAGTGGTTTCTGCAGTCCAGTGCTTTGTTGAAGCACCTCTATAACTTTGTTTGGGGTGTTATTCATTTCCTGTGTTGCTTTATGTATGATGTCTGGCAATTCCTATAATCTTTCCTTTTTAAGTATTTTTCAATGATTTCTGTCTTCTGGGTTGTTGCGCTGTGTAGTGTGGTTGATGTTAACGAACGTTTCAGAGGTCATACTGCCTCCGTCAGTATGACCTCTGAAACGTTGGTTAACATCGACCAGACTACACAGCGCAATAACCCAAAAGACGGATATCTTCATACTCACCGCTGTGAGAACCTCAAGTCTTACCTACAGTTGTCTATACTCCTCAGGTTTAAGTGAAAAATTACTCCATATTATGTATATGACTTCTGCAATTTTCGAATATAATATATGTACAACTGATAAGTATATATATTACTTCCAGGTAATTTAACACTTAATCAGTGATGACACTGCTATACTCCCATATGGCAATATGAGCATTACATTATAGCTTGATTTAGTTGTATTTAGTGAACAAACATGAACACAGGAAACAACACTGGTATACTAAATGAAGTTCTAAAGTAATAAAATGAACACATCATTTATACACAATTCTGAATAAGATCAGATGAAAGAGGTATAACATGTAGTGAAGAAAACAGATATGACAGATAGGTGATATCTGAAAGAAGAACATATTTACACAGTAGGTAGCATACCACTGTAATATAATTCACTTTATTAAAAAATAACCATAAAATTACAACACTTATCAATGTTACAATCTTCAAGCCTAAGGAATAAATATTGTAGTTTGATCATTATTTTTAACAACACTGTTTAACATGTAACTCTCATGTAATTTTGAGATTTGAAATCAGAGGAAATTATATTAAATTTGATATTACCTGTCCATCACGACTCGTTTGAACTCGTCTGTTCTCATTGTACGGATTCAGTAGATGGCGAGTCGCCTGAAAGGGGATGTTGGCTCGTTTTATCCACTCTACAGGAAGAGGTGGGTTGAGGTTAGGTCCACTCAGTTCAAAGCATTGGTCTGCTGTATCTATCTTGGAATCTGACTTATCTCCACTCAGACGCGCATATCCTTGAAAGTGCCCACTGCCTTGCACACTGAACATCAGTATCACCCGTTTGCCTTCCTGTGACATTGAAATGGGTATAATACCAAATTCATGTATATTCCACAAGAAGAAGTTCAATTTAAAAATGTTTGTAAATCTTTAGTATAAAGATACACCTCACCTTGAAAACACGAGTCATCTTCCTCTCTGTATTGGAAGTAAATGCCCAAGCACCACGACTTAGAGAAGTCTCAATAGTCTTCAAACTGCCTGCTTTAATGACAAAGTAACGTGAAAACACAGGTCCTACCCCAGCAGTGGGGCTGGTAGCCAATGCTGTGCTATCCCCAGCACTTCCATGGGATGGTGTAGGAGAAGGAGTTTCACTCAAGTTTCCACTACCAAATGATTTGACACTCCCTGAATCGGAACGTTCACCTGTATGACCATCATAAAACCAATCTACTATCATCATCTTCATAGATTAGGCTGTTTCACCTGCTGAGGTCCAAAAGATTCCACTTTAAAATATATAAATATTCACCTCACTTCTAAATATTTAATTTTCAGCTATACAATGAAGGGTATATGCTTTTATTTTCATTAAAATACAGGAACCCCAACCTATGCATATTAATCAATAAAATGTGTAAAAAAAAGGCAATTCCAATATTTCTACGACTAGAGTAAACCTGGCAACTACACACAAATTTGAAAATATTTCTGAATCAATAATCAATAGATATGTGTTACCTTTCACATACTTGCAAACAATTTACTCAGCCCATATTTCTTTAGTCCAGTGCTCAGCTTCTGACATGCATTTTGTAGAGATACAACATTCATCAGTCAAACATAGTAAATACGCAAATGTGTTTGTGCCACTGTTTCCTTGAACTACCTTAGGTTGATACTGAAGAAGTACTCTTTTCCCCATGAGGAATCCGCAGTCATCAGTTCAACAATTTGGGGGGTAATTCCCTGTGATGGCAGATTACCGTAACCTACGTAATAACGGTAAATATGCAGCTATTAGGCAGTGAGAGGATGGTAGAAGAATGTTGATCTGGCACACCTTCCAAACCATCCACAACCAACAAGACAGAATGCACAAGACTCAAATAAGACTCCTCTGTCAGAAAATACAAAACTGATCAACTGTTCCTAGATGATGAGAAGATGGCAAGAAACTTCAACATGGTGAAAGAAATGTGAAGTAGGCCCACAATTTGAAAACTACTTTTAAATATCCACAAAAACTAATTTCCTATATAATGAAAAGTAATTTTGCTGTAGTAAGAACCAGAGACTCCTTGAGATCTGCAATTTTTATAACATCCTGATGAGTAATTTTCTGAATATACTGAAACATGTAAAACTATGTTTTCACCTCATTAGCACAGAAATTTAAACAGCATCACAGAGCGAGACCAAGAGTGAAGGGTCAACTTACATTGTTACAGACTGTGTACCTCTAATACTGAAAAGATAAGTTTGTAAATTGTTTGTGCTACATGCTTTAAGATTTACAGCTATCCCTAAAATGGTCAATGCCTGTCATGACATCAGAATATATGTGCTTCTTATTACATATGGCTCAGTAATCGATAATCTGCTTTATACAAGAAACTACATATTAAGATTCACACCTGCATCCTGAAGAATCAAGACTGTCAGTTCTATGGCACTTCAGAAAACTTTAATCTGAATAAAAGTTGAATGTGAGAGAATATCTTAAAGAAACTCTGTGAATTCAAATGTATTTCTCACCATGATCAGTTGTCACTTTGGGTGAATATTCAAACTTTCTTTGTTGTTTGAAGATATTTCGGTTTTCAGTGTTGCCCAGGAAGACATTCTCAACATGGGTTTCTCCTTCCTCTGTGGCTCTCCTCAATCCTTTCAATTGAAAGCATATTATTAAAAATGCAAAGAATTACAGATCTAAAATTATATTTACTACTTAAGAGAAGCAAATTAAGCAAAGTCAAATATTTTCAATTCCCAAGTAGTATCATGAGTCACGTACTTCTATTTTCGAACTCCTTCAGCAGGGATCATTTAAATCTTAGATCCTGGTGAACTGTGGTTTGAAAACAATTTATGATAAAGAAATATAAAATCAATATTTGATGAAAGGGAATATGTACTGAGTGGTGATACTACTTTGATATAAGCATGTATACAGCAGTTAATAACACGTGTACATGCTTTTTTAAATTAATCTTGAGATTATGCACACACAAGAAAGTAAAATATTCAATTAATTATATGCAACTGTGTGTGACTTTCAAGCAATTAGAGCTCTGAAGAATAATGTAATGTTAATGAGGGAGATACTGAAATTGTGAGTGTGAAAATCTATGTAAGGTTTTAGATTTGCCTATGCTGAGGCTACCATCTGTTGATCTACCTGAAATCTTGGTTAAAATAATACTGAGACCACACACACAAACATCATTAGAGACTTGTACAAATTGTTACCAATCTAGTTCATAGCTTCAAAATCATTCATTCATATTCACAACTGTGCAAAAATTTCTATCAGTAAGAAAAGTGCTTGATCCACAGGTTAAAACCAACATTCAGATGCCTGGCAAGAACATCTTAAAATCCTTTTGTAAGATATTCACATGCTTTAATAAAACTTGAAATTTTTACAGTATCTGATAGATGTCACTAATTACATAATCTGCTCTAGCTGAAAATTCTCACATCTTCAAAAATGTTTGTATTGTCAGTCATCTGAAAGTTACAATAAGACTTTGTATTTTTACACTATAACTTCATCATCTTACTTCTTCTGGCTAGCTCATGATTCTTACTGAATCCAGAAAATGATTTACACAGACCCAAAAATTATATTCAGACTGGGCAGTATATGACACAAGATTTATAAACTTACCAGATGGGTAGCAGTCGATAGCCACTTGCCGAGGACGTTGGCCAATTCCTGATGGTTGCTGCAGACCCACTGTCTGCTCCTCTGCAGTCAGTAGATTGATGATTGTCCTCACCACTGCTTCATCCACCTGAACATATAATTGTAAAGAAATAGGATGCATACAATTTGTGTAAAACCCAAGCAAATAAATGATTAATAATAGCTACAGAGTAATGCGTGTGAACTGGGCTTTCACCACTTGACACACAGACATTGTCAATGCTGCCGTAAAACAGAAGGGAGAAGACGGTGAGACGGAAGAGAGCAAAATTCATTCTGCAATGAGGAGTAGTCTAAAAAGTTCACAAAAACAAGTGATCCTTACAAACTATTTCTCAAAATAACATCAGTTATGAAAACAAAATGTAAAACAATTTTCAAAGTTCAATGAATGTACCAAATATAATATTTTTGATTGTCCATGTTTTACAATTATTCATATATCTTCTCCCCTTCATTAGACAAGATACTCAGAGCTTTATTGTAGTTAATATTTTTACAAATGTGCCAGTGAATACATTTTACAAGCATCAGAAACCTGCTTAGCAATGATCAGACATTGCCACTATGCACCACCTTAAAATTTAAGGGAATTACGGAGTTAACAAAGTGTGTATAGACACCACATATTTACAGGTTGATGACAAATTTTCCTAATTGAAAGAGGTTATGAAAATATGAAGCTTCCTCTGCCCAGTGGTTAGCAACTTCTTCATGGAACACTTTGAATGATTAGCTTTTGATCCAGCATCAGAATATAAACTGGTTATGTGGCTCAGATGCATGTGATATGTTCATGATATGGCCACATGAGCTGCAAAGATTACAGAAATATGGTGACTGTCACAAAAGATGGCAAGTATTTCAGTAAGCCAAATGGAAGCAGTGGTGATACTGGTTATAGTGTTGTCTGTAGTCAGGTTCATAAAACACTATTCAGCATATACAATTCCTTCAATAATTTATACTACTGAATGAAATAAACTGAATTTTTCAAAGTTCCAAGACCTAGCAGCTGAAGCTTTTGGCATAAGACATCGAGTGTTTCTAGAATGTGCAAGAAGGCAAAGATAATGACAGATGATGATTCTGCTGTTATCGAGACAATGAGAAAGAACATCAAGATTCCAAAGAGAACAACAAATACAGGAAATTTTGTGAAAGATGTTGCACACAACTGATTGAATTTTATAACAGGAGTAAGAAAACATTTCATATCAGGACTCAGTTTCATCTATATTAAAGGTACTGAAATGTTTAGGCTTCAAGTACAATAAACGTATGTTTGATAATCTGTTCCATACTTGTTCATTAGTCATAAATGTCTCTGACTCCAAATATTCTGTTAGATTGCTGGTAGGGGCACGAAATTACTGGCAACACTGTGGTAACTTCTTGTTGACTCTCACCAAGTGTCAAGTGATGTGAATACTATAATAATGTGTATGCTGAATAATAATTCTGCACACCTTTATTGATTTATATTATATTATGTAAACATTAAAAGATAAAAAATGTCTATTGATGTTAGACACATTAGGGATTTATATTTTTCTAAATATATAAATTTCTGATATAATATACAGAAATTAGGATCCATGTATGTAATGTTTACCTGAGACCAAGGCCTAGCAGGAGCCCTCATGCGACGCAGAAACAATGAATGCCATTTCTGTCGCAGCTGCAGCGCTAAGTGAGCAGCTTCAGCATCCACACGAAACACAACCCACTCATCAATTTTAAGGGTCGTGTTTTGTCCATTTGGTCGTTCTTCTACTTCACTATCACTCTCTGTCTCAACAGCTCCATCTCCTCGGAATACTGCAGGTATAAATGTGACAGCGCATGTGTATTATGATAAAATGTCTTGCTTACCTTCTTTTATACATATTCTTGCATCCTAGTTCTTTCTGCATTTTTTGCTGCACAACTATACTTACGAGGTTCTTATGCATTCTTTTGACAAAGTGCACAGAATAAATGCATTTTGTCTCCAAAATTACTCTGTGGATTTCAATTACAAATGGTACTGGAATCAAAGTCTGCAGTGGTTGAATTTTATTTTATTTTATAAGAAGCTCTAATTACTAAAAAATGGTTGAAATAAAAATGTTAAATAATATGAAATATACATAATGCTAAGCTTTCACACAAACTTTTAATCATATAACATATATTTAATTCAACTTACATTCTGCTTCAGACACAGCATCCAGTGGCATTCGTGCTGGTCCAGCAAAGATAGCAACTGTGATAGGTGTGACCAGTGTACAACAACGTACATGACAGAATTGTCCTGAGTGGCTCATCTCTTCGTACACTAGCCAGTCTGATGGGAGAGCCTCAACTGTTGCTGTGTGTGATGCAGCCACTGATGTACTAGGTGATTTTGGGCACTGACGTAAGGTTGATGATGGATGGAACGTTACTCGGAATTCTTTCCTATTAGAAACAGACATGCAAATAAATAATAATTTGGAGAGTGTCAAGTACTTATGTGTCAACAGTCATATGTTACAGTTCACAGAGCACAGTCCCAATATGGCCTCCCATTAATTTGTTCTATTTACATGCAGTAATATCTAACACATTTTAAGTGTCTTTTCACAAAATATGTTGCAGTTTTGTACTTGTAATTTTTTTCTAGTTTAATCTTGATCATGCTAACATTTTGACTATACTGAGGAAGTGGAAATAAGTTCTACGGATGGGGCTTGATGCTCTCTTCTCTCCATCTACCATTGTATATCCCTGATGGCCCCTCTGGTCTATGTCAGCCAGTCTCTAGGCACTTGCTGTTAGCAAACACCACTAGTCAATTCCTGTAAACAGAATAGCTACACAGCTGGAAGGGAATACAGGGAAGTATGCTGGAGGAGGTAAATGTAACAACATGAAGATGTGGAGATTGTATCATCCTTCCATAGTCTCAATATAACTTCAATTAAGGACCAATTAAACAATATTTCAATTTCTGACTTTTCAATGGATGACAGTCATAAAATTGATTCAAGATCAAAAAACGTTTCCAAAATTCAATACATTCAATACCATGTACTTATGGACCATTGCATGTCAGAATCTGCACACCAGCCAAAAAGGACTGTTTCACACTTCAGTATGTCCAGCACAAGGCACCGAATCTTAATTCACATATGCAGGACTCAGTCGGTACTGTGTCAGACTGTGGCCTTGAGAAGTCACGTTCAAAGTAGTCGTCCATGGTGACATGGTCCCAGTACAGTCCATCATGTGTGAATCAAAGGTGGTCTCACAATGTAAATCAAATTGAAACAAGACTAACAAGAATTTTAGTAACATAACAGTAAGTACATAGTCCTGCAAGTGTGAATCAGCCTTTATAGTTCAACAGAACCCAAGATCCTTAAACTAAGCATGTAAAATAGGATTATTATATTGAACCCCACAAGAGGGCACAAAAGCTTTAGAAACTGTTTGAGAAAACTGCATAGATTTTCCGAAGGATACAGATAAGAAGGCCCTATACAACCAGAATACGGGGGGTGTTGATATAGCTGACCAGTTTGCACAATCACATCCATCTATGCACAAAATCATAAAATGGTATAAAAACTGTTCTTGCACATGCTAGGCATTACCATACATAACAGCCTTTTAACCTGGAGAGCCCTCAATCCAGGGAGAAAATGACCTACCTGGACTTTGGACTCAGAATTGTGACAGCTTGATCAAGGAGCACCATATGCTACACTCTCCACATTCTGGTAGTAAGAATTCAACATCAGCAACCCTTCATTTAAAAGACATCTTGTGACCCACATCTCACCAACAAAGGTAAAAAGTATGCCAGTTTCTGATGCGTTGTGTTCAGCATGCAGATATGTTCCCTTGTGTTATGAGCCCTGTTTTGAGATTTATCACACATACCGCAAATTCCAGAGGTAAGGTAATACAGTCTAATATGTTAATAATAACTTTCTAATAACAAAATTAAATTTAACCAACACACAAAAAAATTATGTCATCAAGTACTGATCATGGAAATTCTCCGTCCATAACCTGCAGTGAACATTTTCAAGCAGCAGAAATTCTCTGTCCATAACTGTGAAAGGGTTAAGCACTTAGTTTATGAAGGATTTGAGGGTTTTATGGTGTGAATCTGAAGATGGCTGTCTTCTGAGTTGTTGCGCCATGTAGCCTGTACATATAAACCCTTACCTATATTTTCTTTTACATGCTTCAGAGGTCTTCTTTTTACTACTTTGTTCAAATTTATTAATTGCATGTTTTAAATACTCCCCTCTTTTGTTCCCGAAAGCAATACTAATCAAACATCTATCACTGTTCAGATTATATCTGGGATGGACTTACTGAGTTCTCAGCTGCATGTGTTCTCGATCTACTCGAATCAAATTTGGATACATTCCTGCACACAGAGCAGCCTTCACAACAGCCCAGTTCTCAGAATTGTTGTTCAGGTCACGGATATCACCTCCACCTCGCGCCCGCACAAAACCTGAAGCTCGCAACTGACCCAACAGCTGTGTCCTCATGCCCACGATGATCTCCATTGTTTCCGCTGATATGAAATGCTTCTCACAGAATACACGTTCCCAGCCATTCCCACGTGCATGTTGCCATGTCTAATAAAAATAAAACTTTTCAAGCATTCATACAATAAATTCCAAACTTCGTGTGGTAAACTCTTTCAGTGGTCACACATTTCAAACAAAGATACAAATGACATCTGTGAAAACTGAAGGCAATCTTGTCTTTGTGTCTATTATTTTGTTTCTCTGTATCAAGTAGACACTGACTTTGCTCATACTTAATTACAATGCCATTGTTTCTGTGGGGTACATGTTAGCATTTTCTGACCATGTACTTTTTTGTCTTGCTCATGTCAGCAGAGTTTATACTTCGCAATTCTGAGTGCCTTAAGATGTGAATTCAATGTAGTTAACATTCTGCTGATTATTTCTTTATGCAATACACATTACACTCATCATTATGTACAATAAAGCAAAGGACAATACTGCATGATCCAAAAGCGATATTGGCAAAGATCGCCAAAGATTTTATTGCTGTTTGCATACTGAAAATGTTGATGCAGCCAAACAACTCACAAACATGTTTACAGAAAACTAAATTTGTTGAACTAAAATTTTCATTCATCTCTTTAAAGCACTGTGGTAACTCTATGTGCCAAATGCTTTAACAACCAATAACTGCATTCTGCCAACAGAGTTTATTTGTGGATTTTGTATGAGTTCTCATAACCACAGAGCTATTGTTACTGTATTACACTCACTGTATATGAAACATCTGTTGTGTATTAACTCATCCTAACCATAATCTTTTCCCAAGTTAAAACCCCAGCTTTCCTGGGAAAAAACAAACAAAAAAACAGTCACATGATTTACCCTACATGTTAGAAAGAAACATCTGGGAGTCTACATACTTGAAATGCACGGAGTAACGACATGTGGTCACTGTATGTTCCTCCAGCAAATTTCTTTCTGCTCAAGCAAGATGCCCGCTTTTGTGAGGGCTGTGCTGGTAAGATGAAAGGATCCCTATCATACACAAAACAAGTTTCAGGTATTCTAACAAGCACAAATGACAGTACTGGAGATTGTACAAATGTTTACTAGTACAGTAAGTGCAGTAAAATAGTTCTGAAGTGCAAGCAATGCAATAGATTTTAAATGCATTCAAGCTTGCTGGTCTTATTCACAAAAACAATTTAGGAAGTCAGATATATTGTTAATGTGCATAATGGTTACATTTTAATAACATTTCTTAAGTCTCAAAATTTGGAATTATAAAAAAAAATGAACTGCGTGTATATTGTGTTCTACACTCCTTTATAGTAAATACAATATATATATATTTTTTATTATTATTTATTTTTTTGGTGGTAAATGGAGCATAATCCTTATTGAGAAGCTAATAGCTGCCATCGCCACACGAATCAGAACCACATGTAAATGCTATGCCTGAAAATTTATCCTTTCTGGCTAACAATGACTTCTCAGAGTAAATTTTTTATAGATATCTTAAGTAGTGGACAAAATGTCAATGCCACAGGTACTATAGGCTACACTGAAATAAAGGGCTACTATTGCAGGATGACATGGGCAGGCTATGTAGCATGAATTGGAGAGGTAATAAATAACACAAAAAAATTTAATTTTAAAACATGGGGGAAGAGAACACTTGGAAAAATTAGGCATGGATAGGATGATAACATTTAAACAGACTCAAAGAAATAAAAGTGCAAGAGTGTGATTTGATTCAACTGGCTCAGGACAGGGTGAAGCAACACACACCTGTAAACATGGCAACAAATCTTCAACTTCCTTAAAAGATGTGACCATACTAGATAAGGAACTAATAGCTTCTTACAAAATCTGTTATATGGAGTTAGTCAGTTATTACATGGTATTGGAAGAAATTCTAGTGACCAAAGTCATGCTACTGTCCTAGAATTTTAAACGAGTCATGATAAATTACTCCTTAGTGAGGGTAAAGCAGGGATCTCTGCAAACCAAATACATTGGACCCCTGCATAAGTCATCCAGTCAAAAATTACCTCTCACAGGCCTCCATTGACCCACATAACAAACTTTCCCCACACAACAAATTGCTTATGAAGTTACAGAGTTGCCTATTTCAGCAAATTAGAGTTCTCCTAAATTGGACTCAGTAGGCTACAGCTAATGAGCAACACTCATTCTTCAGAATTTGGAGCTTGACTGTCTTTGTTTACATTGTTTTCTGTGTCTTGGTTGTGGAAAGAGCTCTTCTGCAGACTTGCAACCAGAAACATTAATAACTCACACTTTCTCCAGATATTCCCTTTGCCTTCATGAGTGAAGTAAAATCTAACTCTGAGAAGTCAATTACAATTCTGTATCACAATGGTAGCTATTCACTGTTTTCTTAAACTGATCACATAACACTAATCAAAACTACTATTAGCATATTTCAACCTCCAGAACAAGAAGGGGACATATGTTAAAACACAACAGTACCAGCTTCTTGCAAATACAAAGTTTTGCCTGATTAATATTAAATTTGTACTCAGTATCTTTAAAGGAATTCACCTGTAAGCTAAACAGCAGACGATTGTAAGTACTGGGTCAAGACACTTCAGTACCACAGAATACAGCAGCATCTTGCCAAGTCGAGGTTCAATTGGTAGATCAACCAAGTGATGGCCAAGTTCTGTCAGGTCCTCCCATGAATCCAATGCATCAATGGTCTAACACAAGAATAAAACAAACGCTGAAGTGACAGACATGGAAGATGACATATGATGTGAAACTTTCACGGCGGCTTTCATTAATAGTCTTTTCGGGCTATAAGCTGTGTTAGTTGGTGATCAATCGCCAACGTTTTTAGGACCATCTCTGTCCTCATTTTCAACGCTGTTGACTGTGTGGCTTGTAGCGCAAACTAAATCTAAAAAAACATCTCTAAAACCACATGTGACATGCTAAGAGCCCTAGAGAATGATGAGAAATAATGATTCTCCTGGATAAAGACAACCTGACAGTGGTGCTATGGAGTGAGAATTACCACAACACCACCAGCATAGAGAAAAACAACTTCTCAAAATATTACACAAATAAAAATGTAATGAAAACTTTCTTGACCTGACTTATCAAACTTCAACTACCTTTTCATTTGGATCAATAAAAAGACTAGATGAGAAGAGGTAAATTAATTTAAACACTTCTATTTCAAATGGACACAAGCTGAAATGGTTTGTATAATGGTGAGATGTCTGCTTGAGCTGTTATCCCAGAGCCCAGGTAACTAGCTTGCTACCAGTGTGGGGAGCAGAAACTTTAATCTGCTACAAGACTGAACGGTGCTTTGCGGAGAGATGGATAATGAAGTGTTCGTGTACTCTGCACACCAATCCTGGATGAAAAAATCTGCATGCTAATGAAAACTGCAGACTAAAATAAAATAACTGCATGACCATACAATCTATTTATAAATAAACAAATCTGTCAATTTTGGACTCATGTGTCATGAGACTAAATCCCATCAATAAACATTATGAAATTATAAGATTTTAAAACTGCATTCAATCACAATGTGCACAATGACCCATAAATTAAGACTATATTTTCCTACAGACATTTACAAAACTTTACTGGCTTACCTTTAGCAACTGTACTGCATTCCTTGTGACAAGAAGTGATGGAGGCTCAATAGCTCGCGCTAGGAAGTCAGCTATTGGTGTGTTGGCAGGTGCTAGAAGCTTTGTGTGGAGGCAAAGTTCCTGTATAACGGACAGTGAAGTTCAGAAATAAAACAAATTAAATATGCACACAGAACATTACTGAAAAATGGTTCAAAATTTTCCAAGACATTATTACATACTTTGCTGCACCTTATGGCCCAAATGCATCAGTGATATGTTCTCTCTGTATCAATTACTGTTTTTACATTCATGAGATGATATTCTAAAGAATCAATCTTGAGTTCTTGCAAAATCTGATTCCTTCTTGTGGCTGAAATTTAGTTTTATATTCAATATTAATAGAAATTAACATTAAATAAATAAAAGTACAAGCCCATTCTTGTTACACTGAACACTACAATAAACTATCATCTTTTACCTGCAATGGAATCCTTAGAATCTCTGGTGTGTGGTATTTCTGCATAGCTTTGTATCGTATGCTAGAGAACATATGATAACAAATTCCAGGATGTGTACGATTTGCTCTACCCCTTCGCTGTTGAGCGCAGGCCTGGGAGATCCAGACTGGACGTAACATGCAAACGCCTGATATCGCATCAAATGATTTCTGCCATATGCACAAAAATACAATATTTTAGTAAACAAGCTACAGTTGAGCCTCCAACTAAAAATTAGCATAAAAATGTGCAGTTTATACAAAACAGACCAAACAGACAAGATAAATTTGGCTATATATAATTCCAAAAAATGTATAAATAATTAATAAATCATATTAGTTAAGATTTTCTTGGAGTCTATTGGCCTATATGGCCACTTGTTCAAAGTCATTTTCTTTTTTATAATTTATGATTCCAAAAGATTTATAAAGAATTAATTATTAAGATTTTCTTGGAGTCTAGTGGTCTATAGTTACTTGTTCAGAACAATTATTTTTAACTTTTAATAGCAATCATTCAATATCTCTTTTAGAACAATCGCCTTAGTCATGACTCATGTGGTTCAGCCATAGCCTGCTTTATCTTAGCTGTAGACATAATTTGGATTTGTTACACTTTAGGAGCAACTATAATTGCCTGCTGCAACCTTTCAAGTGCATAAGGAGGAGAAAGAATTGCTACAGTATAAGCAAATGCATATAGTATATCTGCCACATACTTCCTACGTTGACAAGGGTTGCGCTTCCTTATTCTGCACTAGTTATCATATTTTATACCAAGTCAACAAGGTGGAAGAATATTTACTTTACTGTGCAACTTAGTTCAAAAATGTGTCAGTATTTTATAATATCTCTGCTTTATGACCCAGCATTATGTGACTGAAATTAGCTGACAGATATGCAAGACTCAGACAGTGAAAGTATTTTGTTCAGATATAGCCACAGTAAGGGTTAAGAAGAATGTACTGATGAGAAACTTGAGAATCCGCATGAGCATCATGACATTAAGAGCAGATAGAGAAACAGCTACACAAAAAAATTAATAACATTAGTCACATATAAATGTCAAATATAGGCATAAACAACATATACCATGACCTAAATCAGTTTTTCACAAAAGATCGCTGCATCTCTACAAACTAAGTGGCATTTAACAACCGTACCAAATCTCAAAATTCACATGTATATGAAGTGCTTAATAAATGTTTTCACTGTATGTTTTACTTCTCTTTGGTTGAGCATCAAAATGTGAATTCTCATTTGATGGGCACTGGTCATTATAAAATGCACATATCTTCGCAGCAATTGTTAAAATGTTGCTTCTTTACACACTTTCCTTCAATCATAACTTTAATATGACCCACTATATTTTACCAAAAATAAAAAATATAAAAACCTGTTTTACAGGCAGGTAAATACAGTAGCTCATACAAAGACTGGGAACTATGATATTTTACAGTAAATATAACATGAACTTAATCTTATTCAGAAGAAACTATGTTAGTATCATTCAAATCAGTAAATCTCAGTCAAATATACAAGTTACTGAATACTGCAGATATGGTTTAATTCATGTACAGGCATTAAGAGAATGGGTTTTGGTTCTGGGCTATCTTGTGCCTTGTTTTATTATAAAGCAGTAATCTGAAAATGTTGTACTGACGAAGTTGAAGCCAATATTCTTACATACTAACCTCCTTTATCTTCCCTGAATCTATAACAAACACCACATCATCTATGGTGATACTTGTTTCAGCAATGTTTGTTGATAAGATAATCTTACGGACACCTGGTGGTGCTGGACAGAAAACACGTTTCTGGTCTCCAGTCTGAAAATATAAAGGCATGCAGACAATTATATTTCAATAAATCTTAAAAAAATATCTGCATATACAAACCCAAAATATACCCAATCACATAAAAATCTAAATACCCTTTTTCTATTAATAAAACACTCATGGGCCATCAGTGATGTCTAATACTTAAAAACTCACCAATGACTCAAGGACCACCTCTGTCCCATCATGAGGGCATCTAATGTGGCTGTGAAAGCCAGCTGTCCCATATCTATACCTGTACCACACCCATGTTTGGATATGTGTGTGAACCAATAGAAGCCTATTGGGCAGTGTTATATAAGTGCCTTGCTTGGCATTGTCTCAGGATTCGTACATCTCTATATTGCTTCGGTAAGTTCATCACCGGGTACCAGGATCGACTGAGTGCAAAGCCACCATCCCTGTTACTGTTTCCGAGGTGAAGCCTGAGCTTGAGGGCCTCCTTTATCATATGATCCTGTTGCCTTGGCCAGGATGGAGATGTGACTGGAGCTGATGCTGTGGCCTGTTTCATATCTATGCTCTGCCACAGTCAACTTTTCTGTTTGGCCCAGACATATATGTCTTATTGGAATAAGGGCCCACTTGACCTTCATGTAACTATACCAGCTTTGTCTAAACATCTTTAGATAGTAGGAGTGTCAAAGCTTCCAATAACGCCAACCATTACATACTGACCCAGAAGATGGCAAATGCAATGTCTGTCAAAACAGATCATTTTTAACATTTGATGCAACTCACCCCTTTAAGACAAAGTTATACATAGAAGCATATCTTATAGATGAATTTCTGAAAGAATTTTAACAGCAATACAAAATACCTGAAGGACAACATAAAGCAACCAAACTGCCTATAAAGTATTTCAAAAAGTTTTATGTAATATAAACAAGAGAATTACATAGTTGTACCCAATTACAACTCCTACCTGCATGTTTGAATGTAAAATATAGAGGGCATATTTGCAAGTCTCAGACAACCTCTTCTCTTCAGCTGTAATCCTTTCCTTCAGGATCACAATGTCCTCATATCCCGGCAGGAACACAAGAATTGCACCTAGTACAAATTCATATGTCAGTTTTGTGTCCAAGTAACATTTCATGTCGCTCCCATCTTAACAACAATACAACTTGAGTAAATTTTAAAGCTTCGCCATACAGCTTCATATTCATACTCCATGTCAAAAGTAATTACAATAGACATTTCTGTTAGAGACAAGTAAAAAAATTAAACTACAAACTGTTTGGGAATTTTGATGCCAAACTGGCAAAGTTCAGTTCTTAAAAAACTGAATTAAAAATAAATTTAATTCAGTGTAACAATTCCTATACATAACATGGTAATTGAAGTGCATCATAATCTACAGAAAGTATAGAATGGCTTATGACAACATGACATTTCTTTAACCGACATATATGACAAGCTATTAGGCAGAAATATGTTTGTGACTAAATATTACTACCAGGAGAGGCAAGGTTTTCTTGCAAATATACCTACAACCTATAAATCAAAATGATGTCTAAGATTTGTTGAAAATGGGTAAATGTATGGTAGTGTAATCTGCATTTCCTTGCTTAATCCATTTTCTCATTTTTTAATGATGTTTGTATTTATCAATTCTTTAAACTTTGTATCAGTTATTATATAAAAACCAAACTAACATTTGCTTCCTTTGATGCATGTTGGGTTGCACTACAAGAGGAGATATTAAATGTGTGCAGACCTCAGGGAAAATGTTCAAATAATGTAACATGGCTGATATTATTCACTGTTGTTCTCTTGTTAAGGCATGTATTGAGAGATTTCTTTTTGCCTATAAACTGGTTTAGTTTTAGAATACACTTAAAAACCATCATAAATTTTGTTTAAATAGAAAGAGATCAAAGGAATGGAGGAAAGAGAATAAGGGCTGAAAATACAAAAGAAATCATTCCCTGTTGAATTTCAATGGGCTTTTATGCTAATTTAAATATAATTAAAGCTTATAATATGGATTATTTCTGCAGTGATCAACAATCATAACAATGAACTTATTCTGTTCTGATGAAAGACTCTCGGGTTACAGACCTCAGTTCCCGCCAGCGAGCGTACTACAGAGGACCAGATTTGTTATGCAGCAGCCGAGGATGAGAGCAGAGATTGCTCTCGAAATGTTGGCGGATGATATGGTTTATTCACCATCCAGCCACATGACGCAGCTTGTAACCCGAGAGTCTTTCATGAACTTCAGTAGCCACGAAAGCTTCACTTTATTCTGTTCTGTCCAAGAATAAATATGATAGCAACAAGTCTAGAAGAGTTAACTCATTTCTAGCAAGACTTGCCCTTGTCCTGGGAGGTATGGATGTCAAACAGAAGGGTCATCAAGAGACCCATGTCAATGCTCTCATCATTGAAGCTGTGGTGGTAAATGTCCAAGAGTTCCTTCTCTTCCTCCCCCAGCTCTGGATCCTCATTTGCCAGCAGCAAATCTGGGCAATTATTTAATTCTGTGTTCCTGACATAAATAAATGTAGAACCTTAATAAACAAAAACAAAACCCTTCCTTCAGAACATACTGTTAAAAAATTTAGAGAATAACAGTACATACTACAAAGGTAAGCCTGTTCGTCCATACAACAAATTTGGGTCTCCATCCATTAAGAAGCATTTTTTTAATGTGCTTGCTATTATTCATATTCAAAGTGATCAACCACACTAAACTGCCACAAAGGTTAAATATTAGTAAATTTTATAAAGTTTCCATATCTAACATATATTACTTTAAATGTAATATTAAGCCACTGATGTCTATAAAAGCAGTATAGGGAGTTACAAATACAACTAACTAGATCTTTTCGTATGCAGAATGGTAAATAATTCACCGACTGTGAACAAGTACAGTGTAACTACAATAGAATGAAACTTCACTGCAGTGATCAAATGAAAATAGATATGAGAAAATCTTTAACTTGTTGCTTCAGATAATGCAAAGAACTTTTAGAATATTGAATTATTCTTCATTACTTTCATATCGCTATGATAACCAGAAAGAAAGAAAACTTAAAACATACAGAGTAAAATACATGAATACATAGCATCTTACTGAAACACTGCTCATGAACTGAAAGGCACAGCGATAAAAACTAAATGCATTTTAATAGGTTATATTATCAAGTTTATATGATCTACATTGAAGAGATGTTGAATGAAGACACTGTGAGTGGCCCAGAAAATATCATAACTTTGGACTGCCTATTATGTTCAAATACCTTCACGAGGATTGTCGCTTCCCCACATTCTCACGTTACAAAGAGTTACATTTCCGAATAAGTAGAATGTGGCTTTATCACTGAAGACAATATTGGCTGCAAAAACTTTGTCACCTTCAAGTCTTGAATGACAGTCGGAGTAAAATGCTGCACAAACTTCTTTGTCTTGGGCACTTGCAGCATTCTTGGTTGATATACACATGAACTGCGAACAAATGCTGCACAAACTGCATCCACCTGAGCTTCATGATTGGTCATCTTTACAAACAAGGCCAGTCTAATCAAATAATTTATAACATGCACAAATCAATATTTTTGTTGGAGATAACCTTCCAAACGCTGTAAGAAATCTCAATCATACTCCAACTGCAGATCTAGACTCACAAAACCATGGCATGTATTCGGTTTTCTATACATAAGATGCCACTTTAAAAACTATGAGTGAAGTCCTTCAAGTGGAAAGATTTAGAAACTCGAGCGGCATAAATTATAAACTTAATCGTATAACATATTCAAATGTATTTAGTTTTCATTCCTATGCCTTCCAGTTCATGTGCAATGTTACAGTAAATTGGTATACATTTCATGCATATACCCTGTATTTTTACAAAATTTCTTAATATACATACTGAGTTTCTTTTAAAATAAACAAATCTCAAAAAGTATGTTACTAATTTATGTTTCCTCACATCATCATCTGGAAAAGAAATAAACTTTGAACCATCAATCAACACTGCCAAGTTCTCAAGTGCTCCTTATTTACCAATAAGATCAATTTCAGAGCAAAGCCTAAAAAATAGTTTAAGTTTTCTTTATTGAGGCAAGGAACTTAAAGTGACAGGTGTGACTGGCCAGTATGGCTCAAAAGTATAATTTAGGCTCAAAATCCAGCATCAATTTCAGGTATTTCTTAAAAATATGTTCATATAGAGGGTAGTTCATTAATGTACAGAAATGAATGGACAAACATGGACATTCCGAACAGGTGCTCTCTCCATCATTTTCAAATATCTTTACAAATGTTTAAGTTAGTCATGGAATACAATATGGGATCTTTCAAATGCAAGCTGGACACATAAAATGTAATTCTCAAAGAAAGGTTCATAAGTTGCCATAACAAAAGTAATGCTACAGGCCCAACTTACATGTATGCTTCTATCAGCTCCACAACATCATTCTGCTTCATAATGCGAGCCCAATTCAGTGCAGTCCAATCATTGGAGGCTCGAACATTAAGGCTAGCACCAAGATTGAGCAACTGCTCAGCTGTATTAACATAGCCCCTGCCTGCAGTCACCATCAGAGGAGTTACTGATGTCTGAGAATGCTAATATGAACCATTATATCAATATTTACATCTTTCTAACTGTAAAACAGTTCTGCTAGTGTACTGATGTGATTATCCTCAATTCAAATAATACAAGTCCCTATACATAATTCCTCAAAATACTGTTATCACGGTGACATTTAATTTAATTTAATTTAATAAACTTCAGAGAAGTATACAATATAAATAGTCAAGACATGAACATTAATTATTAATTATATCTCATTTTAAACATAAGGGACCTTCATGTAAAACCCAACATATTACAATATTACTTAAAACTTTGATCTAGTACATACCTGATAGTCTACAGAAACATTCTCAGACAGAATGAGATGCATAAGCTGTGTGAAAGCATCTTCTGAGCCTGACAGCCATGCCTCAGAGATACAGCGATCCATTTCCTCTACAAGCCATTCTTCCAATTCTGTTTTCTCAGGTAATGGCTGCATAAACAAAAAAAAAATTATAAGCATTATATGTGCAATACCAGAGAATTCCTAACCTACAAGACACAAAATGACCAACACTCTGGTCAAATAACCATCTCTGGACTAAAGAATCACCACATGTTACCAACAACTTTGAATGTCATTCTACAACTGATTACATCTGAAGGACAGGTTTCAAACTGCTGTTCTATTCTGGTATTCTAGAAAGCAAAATAACTGGATACCTCATTCTGCTGACCATAGATGGGTGCTGGAATGGCTCTACGTTCAGTCCTATGAACATGTTCCTTCTGTACACCATCTGTCACAGACTTGGTCCACACTTCAAGCTTTGCCTGTTGTTCTTTCTTACGCTCAGCCTCCGCCTTCAGTCTCTGCATACCTTTACTCATGTATTTGGTGCTAGAAATGAAAACAAAGCTCCATCAATATACCATATATCCTTCCCTTATTATTTAAAATAAATGTGGAGTGTGATAGATAATTCAAAATAGAGACAACAATTTACGGTGACATGCATATTCTTTCAAATTGTTATTTCTCAAACTGTTGTGTTAATTAATAACTTTTCCAAGTCCAATGGTTTGATGCTATGAAACTTTTTGTATCAATTCTAAACCTACACAACCAATGTTATTGCTTTTATGAGCATTATCAGATGTAACGAATTCTTATGTTTAAAGATCCCAATATACTGGGATAAATCTTTTCCTGTATTAGTAACAAAATAAGCAAATCACATATGAGAAATTCTGCAAGTACAGTTCAATTTAATGACACTCTCTCAAGTGCATAGGTATGTAATGTTGAACGCATGACTATAATGGTTAATTGAGAGGAATGTGGAAGGAAGCAGCAGTGGCCTTCCAAAAAGAGTTTGTTGACCTACTGTTAAATCCTCAACTTCTTCACTTTTTAAAACTGACTTCTAAGAATAAACTATGGCTTGTAATAATACTGACTCAGTTCCAAATAAAGTTCCATATTTCTCCCAGTAACAACATTTTTAAAATGGTAACATCAAACCTCAAACTGTTAATCTAATACTTTAAGAGAAAAATGTCAGATACTGTTACAATAAGTTATAATAATAAATTCATTAATAATATCTTCTGTACTAAATTCTTGGGAATTATGATTGATGGTGCATTAACTTGGAAGAATCATATTGATCTACTTATTAAAAAATTGAGCAAGGCTTGCTATGTAATTAGAAATATGAAACCATATATGTCTATTTCAGTACTAAAGACAATTTATTATGCTTTCTTTCATTCCTTAATGAGCTATGGCATCATTTTCTGGGGAAATTCATCTAGTAGTTACACTATTTTTCTCCTTCAGAAAAAGGCAATTAGAACAATGATGGGATGTAGCAATAGAGTATCGTGTAGAAATATATTCAAAGAATTAGATATCTTACCGTTGGCATCACAATATATATTTTCTTTATTATTGTTTGTATTACAAAACAAAACTCTTTTTCCATCAAACATTGACTCTCATACTATTGATACTAGACAGAGAGAAAATGTGTATCTACCTCAAGCCAATTTAACTATTTATCAGAAAGGAGTTCACTATGCGGGTATAAAGATATTTAATAAATTACCCACAGAGGTTAAGAATACCTCAAATAATTTTAAAAAGTTCAAGGTTGCATTAAGGCATTTCTTAATTACTCACTCGTTTTACACTGTGGATGAGTACTTAATTGGATAACTATTGTAATAAAAATACTAATTATATTGTCTTGAATTTAGTACGCTGCTTGTCTAGATGTAATTTTTTAATGTATGTATTTTATGTTTTTATACTTGAATTTGTGACGTGTTCTATATCCACTATTGGATTCTTGGAACTTGTAAATAAATAAATAAATAAATACTAGTACTTACCGTTTCAATATATCCTCCAAGAAATATTCCTGAATATCAAACTGTCGCCCAGGAACTGAAGAAAAGCAAATCACAGATTTCATTCAAGTATCTCTTTATATCTTCTGAAAACTTTCATGGAATACTCTGTGCAACATGAATCAAGCACTTAAAAACTTCCAGAATCTAAAACCAGAAGCGATATAAAAATACAGAAGGTGTTATAATTCCAATCATTACTAATCTCCATATTCAGTTTTTCTCTACTTTCCATTATCAGTTATTTATGCCAGATGTCCATAAAGTAAAGACACCAATATGTCTGCTTACTTTGAAGAAAAACATGAATTAATATTAATTAAATTTCCAAGACATATGACCATGTCTCACAGCAAAATGTTGAAGATTACATTTTGCTTAGTCAACCATATTCCCTAGCAGACAATTCAATTACATGTTTCAAAATTTCCATGTGGAAATCATGTCAAGCGCAGTTGAAAATGGTCATCAAAATATGTACATTGTGATATTCAAAGCAAAATATATAACTGTTGTTTGTCTGTAAAACATACCCAGTCCAGCAATAGTTTTTTAAATAAAAAACATGAAGCATAGTCAAAGAAAAGTTTTCAGCTCCTGTTCATGGCCAATACAAGATAAAAAAGTAATGGACTTCAAAGGACATTTAAATGATTTTAATACCTAGATTCTGAAATGCAGACTTTCTTTCTCTATAGGCACATTATTAAGGGCATGTTTATGATCTCCAGCTATAAACAGCTTAGGAAGCAAAACTGAAAGTCAACTCAGTACAAAAACTTACAGAAAAAAGTTGTGGCTAATCAAGGTTAGATATTGCTTGTTGTGACAAGGATCACAGAAAAAAGCCCTTGTTTTATGAAACATTTTACAAATAAGTAACATTAAGATGTTAATACTGCCAATGATTTTATTGCTATATAAAATTGTTATGGGTTATACTCCTATCATGGTTACATTGTACAAATGGGTAATGCTGAAAAAGGATACACATTTTGAATACAAAGAGAGTGAGTACAGGTCAGGTTCTGATTGCAGGACAGTGGTCAGGTAAGTATAATTTTATACAACAATATAACTTACAAATCTGTCATGTATTCACACTAATTTACATTACAATGAGATTGCTTTTCAAAACATTTTCAAGTTTGGTGCAGAATTTTAATGCATAAACAGAGCCCACTCCCTCACAATATCAGACATGACCAAATGTATATATTCTAACATTTGCAGACTTCAAAAAAATAAATACTCAGTTATTAAAAGCAATCACACTTCAGAAAAACCCTCATATAAAAGTATATGAGATTATTTCCTGTTGTGCACACACAAACACAAATCATATATAAAATGCAACAATATAGGATTATATATACATTACCTGCAATGACAGGACAGTTGTTGAAGTATTTCGTAAAAACATCTGTGTCAACTGTAGCAGACATTAAAATAAGACGCAGTGACCGGAACTTAGACAAAGAATCTCGTAAAGCAATTAGAAGGAAGTCTGAGAAACAATTCCGTTCATGAACTTCATCTACCACAATGTGTGTTACAGTGGCAAGACTTGAATCTCCACCCATCAAAGTCCGAAGCAGCACTCCATCAGTACAATAAGACAAAACTGTTTTAGGAGATACTCTGAAACAAAACACAGTGATTCTCAGCCAGTTAAATGGTTTATTAATTATCACTTCTGGTCTAAATAATTTATAGATTTGGTAATTATTATTTTCATTCATGCTTCTAGAATTTGTACCTGCTTTCTGATAAAATCTGAAAAAGAATCTTCTACTGTGTATCAATTTTGATGTTCCATATTAAAATTCTTATATTATATGCTAATCAATTTGTTAACATGAAGTGATTTATGAGCATTCAAAGGATATTAAATTTTTCTGAAATTTCATGCCATTATGATGGATCCTGAAAGTTAAGTATCACTACAACAGCCTGCTATGTGCCATGCCATTACACTTCACCACTTTGGTTGAGTCAAAGTTAAATCATCATTTCGTGGAGAATTAGATTTATGGCCAAACTTTATAATGGTGGAATGTCATTTGTCAGCTGTTGCTATGGCTTATTCAACATGAACTACCCTGCACATATGAAAGCTAACTCAACTTTCCACAAAAAATGAGGTGCCAGGCTGTGTTGATGAATCTGAAGAACATAGATAAGTCATATAAAAAAATTATAACATTGAAGAGGCAGCTCATTTCAGGGAACCAGTTTGGCTTCTGCCATTAATAACTATAAAACCATTATAATGAAGTATAATCTTACAGAATGGAAAAATTATTAGTACTGCAATTCAATAAATACCTGCTCTCTAGTCTTATCTGATAACCAACTGATTGTCCAATCTTCTCATCGCGTTCTGCAGCAACACGTTCACTTACAGATACAGCTGAAATACGACGTGGTTGCGTACAAATAATGCGACATGCCTTGCCTGCACTTGCACAGTACTCGAGGATAAACTGTGGGACCTAAAAATGTAAAAAATGTATAATAATAATCATGCTGTTAAAAAAATTAAAGCTTTCACAACATGTTAATGCAGTTATATGTTATATATATATATAAAATGAAGCAAAGCAGAAAGCCACACTGAGGTGGGAATGTCATTAGTTTTCCTCATTTTTTCTTATTCTTCAGATCCTGGTCAAGGGTCATTGCTGTCTACTACCACCACTGCCTACAGGTTCCAAAACAACCCATTTCACCCATTATCATCTTCTACCCTGGTGACAGAAGTTGGAAGTACATGCAAAACATGCGAAATCTTCTTCATAGTGTCAAGTCTCAGAAGAAACAAACAATAAAAGCAGAAACAGTTTTAAAGAAAGGAACTGTTACAGTTAACATTCAACTTGACAATATGAGGAGAATTCTCAAGCTTAATTTAGAAATAAAAATAACCTGTGTTGTTTTTCCAGATCCTGTGTCACCACTGATAACCACAACTTGGTTGCTGTTGATTATGTTTATAATGTCATCTCTCATTGGCCATATGGGTAAAGCCTGTCTGAATGGAAGCAACTCCTGGCTTATCACTGCATATGGTATCTGGGGCACACCTATGTTCAAACGACCCACTGACTTATTCATGTCCTTCCCTGCAAAATAAAATCACATTAGATGTGAATTATAATCAAAACTGAAACAAACAATATTTTATGTTGACAAGATGTTTCATTCCTGACACAAGTCAATGTACAAATATACAACAAACAAGGCACCTAGCAGAAACATGAACATAACACAGCATGAACCAATGTCTTCCTGGAGAAGAAGAAATTTAAATACAAAACACATCACAAAGATTTGACTGCATTTCAGTTACTCAAACTGAAGGTATTAAGTTTAGTTTAACCAAAATTTTGTCATGGAACTAGAGCAGTGGTATTCAACCTGGGGTACGTGTACCCCCGGGGGTACGCAAAGACATCTTAGGGGGTACGTGAAATTTAAAAAAATATATATATATTATTTTATGATAAACACTGAATAATCAGTAATGTAATTTATTTTAGATGTAGATTATATACTATGTATAACTTGAATTATACACCAACAACTTTGGGGGTACAAAGTTCAAGAGAAATTATATCTGGGGGTATGCGAACAAAAAAATACCACTGGACTAGAGTGCCAGATTTCACAAAAAGATTTTCCCTGATGCAGAAATCAATGGCCAATGCTATAGTGATGACAGAGGCAGTATGACCTCTGAAACGTTGGCAAACATCGACCATAGTACACGGCGCAACAACCCAGAAGACAGAAATCTTCATGAATTTATTTAAAGATTATTTTTCTGCATGAGCTTGGGAAACTGGGTTTGGTCATGCTCCAGAAACAAATCCCACTGGCTTGATTTCCTAAGGAGTTTTCAAAGAAGCCTTGACCAAAATCAGTTTGAGAAACCCCTTACAATTTTGGCATTCAATATCTCCGCACCCTTCTCCAAAGGCTGAAAACCTCATATGATCAGAGGGCATCATTAAATAATTCACTCAAGGATTATTGTCATTTATACATTAAAAGATAATACATGTATTAATGACATGATAAGCAGTGCAGACTGTGAATAGGTTAGACTGGAATAAAAGGAAGTCAAATTTCAGTCAAGTGTGGGTAACATATTTGAAAGTAAACTTCGGGCTTGGGATGCATCAGACCAAATGGTCCTCAGGCTGGGAAACCAAAAATTCTAAAATGTCATCTTTTGCACAACTCTAAAGTTCCCAGAGTTATCATATTTACCAATCCCTGAAAAGACACTTCAGCATAATGAAGATTTTCAAGATGCTTCTAACTGGACAGCAAATAGAATAATTTGATAATCTTAGAGTACTTTTCACCTTGACCCTAATACCGAATTCCATCTTACCAGGAATTCACAGAACAGCTATAATGAGACTTTCTCACCTTCAGGATTCAGAATTCGGTCTCTCTCAGTGAGTGGCAACAATTCTTGTCGCTCCTTATTTGTGAGCGGAAATTTGTGCAACAGTGTGTACACATGTTGTCTAGATGATCGCACGAGCTGGAAAACTGCATCTGCTTGCACAATACTGGAACCCTCTCGCTTGTATACTGTTAGGTACCGACTTGCTCCCTTCCTGTGAAAGCAATGGGTACCATGACATTTTATTATTCTGCTGCCTGGATTATCTGATAAATTAAACAACAATTTGTAACATAAAATGATTACCACTTCAGCAAAGGATCATTTTTGTTGTAAATCTTTACCTGGTGTGAGAGGAACCATGTTTGTATGTAACATGAGAGTCAAACAATTACTTAGGCTTAAAGAATGTTAATGAAGCTGATATAAAATAAACAGTTAATTAAATCAATAATCTGGACTTCTATCTATTCTCTGGAATGAGCTTTGTTCATTGTTATCATCATCCCCAAGCTCTCAAGGTGAGCCATTTGTTGCTACATTTCTGTCGCAATTTATAACAGTTTCTTCAATATCCATCCCCACTTTCTTGTTCCAGGCAGTTTGTAACTCTTCAGTAATTTGGGCAGTCTCCATATATTCTATTAATGTAGCAAACACGTTTCTTTCAGTAGTATAAAATCTCAGTCAATGCAGATTCAAACTCTAGTTCATCCAAAATGTCTTCAGTCATTTTGTAGTTTTTCCATCTATACTTTGCAGTCCACTGCAAGCATTTAATTTCAGCAGCAGTAATTGTACCTATTCCTTTTCATTTCCTCCTCATTTTCATATGATAATGAACATCCATTTGAGTAACTTCATTGAATATAGTTCACAGCATTTTTAAGATTGTATAAAGTGAAGCTTTCGCAGCGACCAAAGTTGATGGAAGACTCTCAGGTAACAAGCTGTGTCAGGTGGCTGAATGGTGAATGAACCATTTCTTCTGCCATTGTTTCAAGAGCCTTCTCTGCTCTCATCCTCAGGGCAGCTGGGAAACAAAACTGGTCCTATGTAAGGCGCTCGCCAATGGGAACTCGCTACATAGGACCAGTTTCATTTCCCAGCTGCCCTGAGGATGAGAGCAGAGAAGGCTCTTGAAACAATGGCAGAAGAAATGGTTCATTCACCATTCAGCCACCTGACATGGCTTGTTACCCCGAGAGTTTTTCATCATTTTTAAGATTGTAAAATCTAGGTATAATGGTCTGGGCATAAAGCTATGATGTGGGTGACAAAGAATGAATGCATAACACAAAAATCTGAATAAAGCCACTTGGAAAACTGAGGCAATAGAAGGATAACATTAAGATGGTTCATAGGTTAGAAGAAAGCTGTGATAAAGGAAAGTGAAAAGACCAGGCTCAGGATCATCACCCATTGGGAGCTCTGGAATTTGTTGCATTGAATTTTCAGGAAAACTTCTAGGTCAGACAGAGACAGTTTCATGAATATGAGAGAGAAATGAAAGTACCGACTACTTCTACCAAGTCTGCAGTGTTTCACTCTGGTGTGCTGTGTTAATCCTTCATTTTTTCCATTCACAGTTCATTCGCTATAACATGTTTCGGTCAAATGTGGCCATTGTCAGCTTCATTTACATGCTTTCATGTCATTGCACTGGGGATAATTTTTCCTCCTCCCAATGTAAAGAAATAATGATATAGTTATATATTACAACATTTTAAATTAGATATATATTTATTTTCACAGTCTATACACAAACGTATTTAAAATGTTGTTGTTAAAATTTATATAACACTATAACATCTGTAGTATAAAATATTACAATAAGTTATATTATGTTATAATATAACATAATATAACTTATTGTAATTTATATTATATTATAATATAACATAATATAACTTATTGTAATATTTTATACTACAGATGTTATAGTGTTATATAAATTTTAACAACAACATTTTAAATACGTTTGTGTATAGACTGTGATAATAAATATATATTTGGTTTCAACACAAACATGACGCACTTAAGCTACAAATTTTAAATTAGTTAAAATTATTAAAAAGGTAAAAATATCAAAAGTTGTCAAAAATGTTCTGTTAATTTGTTATGAACCACAATTTTGCTTCTAATGAGATTTAATCCTTGAATCCCACAGCTTTGTTCATGTAACTGCAAAATAAAACATATGAGAGTGCCATAACACAGTCAACAAAACACTTCCCTGTGTAAAAGAAAAAAAATTATATGGGCATGCATAGAATATTCTTCCACACTAAAGAGTTAAAATTAGTAATCTACTACTAGTTAATAGTATGATAAATAATCAGCTCTATTTGGATACGTATCAAAGACAGAAGACAATATCCCTACCCTCTGCTCTTTGAACGAAGACCCAGATCTCTAGCCAACTGATGGATGTAAGCTCGTTCATCAGATGTCAGAGAGGAGGGAAATTCAAATTCTGAAAACAAAACAGATGAATTTGTCAAAGCATTACTGTCAGAAATTTATTTCAAGCACACAGTAATTATCATTCTGTAATCCTTTTAGGCAGCTTACCTTTATTTTCTTCTGTGCGTAAGAATTTCTTTAATGACAGGTTTACAGCAATGCGTACTTCTTCTCCAATTTCTGCCACAGGTTTATTATGATTATACTTTTTCTTTGACATGCTGAATTACTATACAGAGACAATAAAAAGAATTAAACAGATTAGTAACTCATAAACTCCATGATGCAGGCTTTTCCTTGAGAAGTTCAGAGTTATTCATCTAGTCAAGAAATTATCTTCTTTTATGAAATGACTATGAGAAGCCAATACTTACTCAGCTGTGAAGAAATTACCCATCTCTTATGGAACACAAATATTCACAACAGCTCACAACAGAAGTGGTAAGAAAAAAGAATCCAATCCACAACCTCACGCCCAATTTCTTCAAGATCCATTTTAATATAAACCTCCTACTTAAGCCTATGTCTTCAAAGGGATCTTTCTCCTTCACAATTTCTAGCTACATTCTTCAAAGTAACATCACAAAATTGTATTGGTGAGTTATAACAATTATTAATGAAACATATATACATAAAATGATAACCATAAAACATAATGTATGCATTTAGTATGAATAAAAAATTATTTTCAAAAAGCAATATTCTTAAGTCCTTGTGTTATATTATATCAGGTACAGTCCATAACCCTGGAATTGTGTTTCTATGGCCAAACTACCTGGAAAAAGTTTATGAGTGAGAATCATTGAGCAATCCTACAGCCTTTCACTATGCCCATGAATCAAGCTTTTTACACATGAGAGAATTAACAAATGGTGGCAACTGAATGCACACAAGAGAAAGTGAGGGGAAGCAGTAGTGGAACAGAAATACATCTCAGTATACAGGCAGAATGACTGTTGTTTCTGAAGGCAATATAACAGTCAAAAGATTACTTACTTTGCATACAACATGGGAGAAAACTGATCTCGTTCACCTCCCTGTGTATTATGTGACAAAGTGGACCTATCCATCTGCATGATACTGCCTAAATGCATACCAAGACTTCTCACAAGTATTACTTAGCAAAAAATAAGTAAAAAATGTGGATGGTTATGCAACTTAATGCCTGTACTTCACGTTTCTGAATTCGGAAAACATGTATCATACCTCACTGAAAATCTTGCATTGAACATTGAATAATATCAGTCTATTTCAGTAATATAGTTACATATTATTATTTCCTAATTCTGATCACTACAGTCCATAATTTGTAAATTGTTCACGTAGATCATGTAATATGGTTGTGTCCCACTTGATCCTAGGACTCCGACCAATGTAAAGTTGACACTTTTATAGCCTATAGTTCTCATATAAAATATCTCCATTAGCTCTGCAGTCTAAAAATATTTGATGTTCAGAACAGGTATGAATGTAGCTTTCCATATGGGTTTCTGTCAAATATGTATCACTGAATTTTGAATTTAATATGTTCTAAATGCTGGAATAATGAAACATGTAACTACAATGTGTCAAATGCCCATAATCTCATTCTGCTTTGTGCTTGCATTTTCAGAAAATCTTAAGGTCCTCCTAAGCCAAGTTATGTTATGTTATGCTAGAATAACCCTTTAAACCTCATTAGTAACTATACGTACCACACTTTTTTGAAAATAACTCTGCATTTTGCCCACACACAGTATTCACAAGTTTTGCATGACTTTCTGAGTAAATAGTGTTTCCTTGCAAAGCTTGCAAAGACTCTATGAGACGTGGGACCTATAAGGAGGCCTTGATTATGGCAACCAATAAAAGTGCTCCTTCAATGCACAGCTTCCACTGAGATCCTGCTATGTAGGATATTGTACTTCATAAGGGGTACAAGGCTGCTAGCAGATTAAGTTACTATGGAAGCACAATAGATCAATAAATGGTCACAATGCTCAGTAAGATGTAAGACTTGAGGTTCTCACCGTAAGATGCTTATCCCATTTACAATCTATAATCTATGTGAGAGTTGAGTAGCCAAATTTAAACTATGAGACTAAAATGCCAGTATAAGTGAAGTCATCATTTATATATTCAACTAAGTAGCACCCTTTCAGGAAAAAGTCCTTCAGCCTCTTTTTGAATAGTCAACCATCTCTTACCTGTCATATGTGAGCATGTTTACTGCATAATTTGCAGCCTACAATAACTGGCCTGGTGCTGTAGATTTCAAGCTTGTGAGGCAGCTTGTAATAGACTAACCCATTTCTTGTTAGGGGGTTATAAACTGTTAATTTGTAACCTTAATTTTTCCTAATATAATTACTTCCAGTGTACGTAGCAAGTAAGGTTATGAACCACAGTCCAACAAAATTTCACAAGAGTCTGTTGGCATCAGGCCTACTAAGCATCTGACTGCCCTTTCTTGTAGTGTAAACAATTGTATATTTTTACAGCTCTGACCCCATACAGCAATACCATATGTAAGAAACGGACAAAGTAACTAATAGGCAGGATGCCAAACATCCACATCCAATAAGATAGTCTCACTGCTGGGCTCTAGTGAATATGATAAAAAACTTTCAGGTACGTATAAGGCGGGATATTTCTTAACTAGCTAAGCAACTGTTAAGTTTTTTACAACGACCTTGCTCTATGTACTCACTTAAAAATCAATAAAATATGACACTAAACGCGCCACAGGTTAGGTTGTGTTCCAACGCAACACACGACACACAGGTACCAACTAATGATATAAAATTATTATTCAATTATACAAGAAAGCAGGTCAAACTTGTCAACCCTAGCATTTTACTATACCTATCACAAACCAACATGAGACAACACTGATCTTTGCGAATGTTTATTGCGCGGTTCGACATTTTAATTTAAATTAATTACTAATAATATATACACTTTTGATATATAACGCTACCTTTCACTTACATGCTTAAAACAGGAATAAAGATAAGTTTGATTTCAAACATAACAGTACATTTCAGCACATCAGTACTACAAAATTCTTAGAAACACAACAAACAATCGTAAACACTAACACAAATGATAAGTATCTCAGACAGTACCAAACTGTCATTTTAGCAGGTAGTGATACATGGATATGAACTACATGGACAGGTTCTGCAATACATTATACCAACACAGGGTTCTGAAAGGATACCCAGGAAATATTCATTCAGTAAAATTTTCTCGGGTGATCAGCGGTGTCAGATGGCTAAACGATGAAAGCGTTCACTCGAGATTTTATCGAGTTACGTCGCCGCGTCTAATCATATATTAATTCAATATTAATTTCAGATGGCAACGGAAACGATCCCAGTCACAGATAAAATATTAATATATGTCCCCAGTGAGCTATTGCGATGTTGACGTTAATATCACGTGTTACCCTAACATGTCAACGGCCAGTACCTAAGCTGATGTACTGTTGTTTTGTAAGAAAAAAGGTGTCAACATCGTTTACTGGCAGCATTATCTGATAAAAAAAACAGCAAATAGAAGAAATAATTAAAATAACAGAACCCACCTTCTACTGATTGATTCTTCACTTGTTAATGCCATTGTTCCAACTGCAAAAGGAATGCTGCATCAAATGCATCTGATGATAATCCTGGAAGGTGAAAAGAAAGCAGTGTCTTACGATTTTCTTGAAGAAAACCACGAATGACTTCAGCCTGGTCAGCTCATTCCCCAGAGAGATAAAATGGGCATCTCCAAAATACACATGAGCAGTAACACCAAATCCATCCTTTGTTTTTTATACATTACATGTTTAGATGGAGACAAAGCATATTGCATATGATGGAATTTTTTTTATAAAGCATGGCCCCACAGATTGTCACATAATTCAATAATTCTGTGAACTTGTTTACCGACAGAAGCATGAATAATTTTCGTTAGACAGCATGATCTGACAGTTTTGCTGTGTAAGTGTTCCTCCCTTTCTTACCACATACATTTTCTGTGTGAAAAGTCAAACCTTGAACCAAACTAATCTGTATTTGCCATACCTTGGAAAGCATACTTAAGCACAATACAAATTAAGTGCATTTCACTTATAAAACAACCCTAACCACATCCACTTTGGGATTTGTGTTACCTTTACAAACCTTCGGACACTTTTCACCTGACAAATATTGGATGAGGTATTATAAACTACTGTTCTGGCCTGAAAATGTCAATGAACAGAATGAAATTCTGTAAGTAAAACAAAAGGTTTAAACACATCCAAAAAGGAAATGTATTGTACAATGGTAGTTCAAACTGTCCAGTACCGACTAAATTCTACTTTAAATTTTAATGAGGTTGAGCAAAGGATAATAAAAATCTGTTCACAGTGGAGTTTTATGTGTATCAATTGTGGTGATATGCATTCATCTTCAAACTAGAAAACCAAACAATGTGTGTGTGTGAACAGTATGACAAAATTTCACACAAATTAATATTTTCCTTATAATGGTTTTTCATTGTCATAATACATCATTGGACTGTTTCAGATATTACAAAATAGAATTCTGCATTTCTTTAATGTTTTCATAAGTGTCTTACTCCTCTCAGTTGGTAATCTTCGGGCAGGAGAAGGAAGTAGTATTCTCATAAATGTGTTGCAGTTTCTTCTGTAATGTTGTTTAAGACCAGTTATTGGTGACATTTGTAATTCTTTAATTATTTCACTTCACTTGAGGTTAGAAAGGGTATACTTTCCCATGGTACACAAATCTACATCTTATGGTTACAATATACCAGTGCGTATATACTTCTGTTAGCATTAAAAGAAGTTCTGTAGTCATGAACTATAGAAAAATATTGTGGAACTGAGTTTACATCCATTACCTCATCATAACAATTGACAACAAAGTCTAGTAGTTTTGAATGGGAAAGCTTGAAGTTCTGATGTATACAGATATAATTAAACTATTGTAACATTAAAGCCTTCACTGGTACACTTTCATAAACACTTTCCTACATGATCTTAGCATTTCCAAAAGCAAAAATGTCTGGAAAAAATGTAGCTTGGATTTCTCAAAACATAATACCTATATAATTTGGCTGCATTTTTATTGATAACCATATTCTGGAATACTGGTACATTTGAAAAATAATCTACTCCTGAATAAATAATTTATAATTCTATTTTAAATGTGTGTTAAGTCTAGCCAGAAATCTGTGGTTACAAATGAATTTTCTTTTAATTGTAAATTAAAAACTTGTTAGTTTTTATTTTTATTTCATTTTTCCAATAAACATGATTCTGAGATTATAAACAAGCATACTCACTATTCAAGGAATTGAATAATATCTAATAACCAGTCTGAATTATAGTAATCTGATGAGGCAACTTTGGCAATTATGCAAAATAAGCTGCATCAATTATGGTATTATTAGTAACCATTTAAAATTATACACATAAGGCTCTCCTTAGTACACAATCATTTGGTATATACATATTTTATGGCAGCAAAAGTGTGGTGGTACTACTTAATCAAATTAAATAATAAGTTTTACCTCCACTCTTTTAAAGATCTGTGCACATAAATTCATGAAATCTAGATTTGTGCTACACCATAAAATAATAAAATGTTTTTTTGTTTCTCATATAGAATACGTGCTGTACAAAATAGGTCCAGTGTCTTGTATATGTAGGGTACCAATTATAAAATAATTTATAAGTCAATTGACCAACAGTTGGATTAACATTACATAGTCTTAATAGGACTTAAAAAGTAACATAATTTCAGATAAAATAATCTGATGCTGTATAAAATGAAAATGAAAAAAAAGAGAGGGGGAAATGGAAGAACACCCCCCCCCCCCCCCAAAAAAAAAAACAACTCTATAAAAAGCGCTAAAAAATATAATGTAAAATCGTATTTACGATTAAGAGCGCTAATATAATATTTTACACAATAAAATGTTTTAATATTATATAATTTTTACAACACCAATAAACTTCAAACGTTTGTGTATAGACTGTACAAAATAAATATATTTAATCAAACACAAACATGACGCATATAAGATACAAGAAGTACATCTGCTTTATACAATGCTCTTATTTAAGCAACACTGAAGTCTCTTACCTTCCCCCCCCCCCCCCCCCCAAACAAAAACTAACAACTTTCAAACTATCACTCACAATATACTTCCACTATATTTCAATTTCAAGGAGATAATCCCATACCAATGATCAGCTTCTAAAGACAAGTTGACTTGCATGTGGCATACTGATATAATAAAATGCAGTGAAGCATGTGAATATCTGCACAACTTTAGTCATTCTATAACCAAATACTACATATATTACTCACAGTCACAATTAATCAATGTATGAAATATTATCCCAATCTGCTATGAAGTTCAGTTTGATTAGTGATAACAACTTAACCGCACTCACTGCTCCTCACTCACAGGACCTCGCAATACTTTTGGCTCTTCCTCAGAGGCAACTGGTTTTATTTCAGACTCTGACTGATGAAGTGGTTCTGAAGAATGATTTTCAACAGCATTATCATCATCATCAAGATCATCCCATTCTTTCATAATATCTGCCATCTGAACAGGTGGCTGTCTTCTTATTGGTACATTACTGGCAACTGGCTTTTTGATGGGAGAATAGGTTTTCACGGTTGATGCTTGCTTTGTCTCATCTTTATCATTAATGTCATCATCTTCAACTTCTTCTTCAACTACTTCGTCCTGTTCCTTCTGCTCCTGAATTATATCTTTTGTTGTAGAGGTTTCTTTCAACTGCACATCTTCTACACTACCTGTTACTAACACTTCTACTTCTTGGTTACTCTCATCAGTTGTCATTTCTTCTTTGTCACCTTCACTTCTATCCAATCCTTCCACATGTTCCACTTGTGTATCTTGATTATCTGATCCTTCTGTTAATTTCTGAATACTTTCTTCAGTAGGTGGTATTTCTTCAATTATCACAACATCACTTGTATTTCTTTCTGAGTCTATACTGTCATTAATAATCTCTTCATCAAGTGACAACACAGTGTCAGTTCCATCTTGAGGAATTATATTTTCTCTCGTCAGAACAGGCGGGATATTGCTGTATTTGATTTCTGTCGGAAGAACGCAGGTTGATTCTGCGATGAGTTCAGGTGGTGGTAGCTCCTTTTCTAGCACAGGCAATTCTGGTTCACTAACAGTACATTTGGCATCATGTTCCTGAGTCTGCTGTGTGGGTTGTGTTATAAGGAACATAACGCCTTCACCATTGCTGTCTCTCATTGGGGCATAATCATGATCAGTCAGAACCATCGTTACCTCATCACCACCTACAACAGATACAGCTACACTGACTGGAGGTGGTGCAGTTGCTGTCTGGTGTGATGGAACTACTATGGCTGCATTTGCTTCTCCAGAGTAATGTTCTAGATCTGATAGAGGACCAGTGTACGACTGATCCTGCTGTTCCTGTCCCTCATCAGGCATTATCTCTGGCACGATGTATTCCTGTAATTCTCCTGTTCCTACACCACTTATGTCTATCTCATCCTTTCCATCTGTTGAAGTTGTTTCTTCTCCTACAATTTCAGTGGAATGCAAAATAAATTCCTGGTTATCATCCAATACTATCACTGTCTGTTCTCCTGTTAGTGTGTCTGCAAGTCCAAGAGATGCTGCAATGCCACTTGCAACATTGCTCAAAGCTTCTGCTTCTGATGAAGGAACCAGTGACTGGACTGAAGGGCCTTCAGCCAGGACAGTAACACCTGATGGAAGCATCACTGTACCAGTACCTGGTTTCTGCACAATAGCTTCAATTACAGGTACCTCTACCACCTCCCCTTCCTCCTCTTCATCTGCATTGAGACCATCTTCCCCTAAAGCATCTGAGGAATGAGCTTCTTCTCCATCTTCAAAGTTCTGCAGGTTTGCAAACTGTTTACGCTTAGCTACCATATGAAGCTTTTCTTCTTCGTCCATTTTACGAATTACCTCTTTATGGCTGGTGCGAATATGTGCCTTGAGATTTATGTTGCGTACAAATGGTTTCTGGCAAAATGGACATTCATATAGTTTCTTTGCTGGATCTGAATGAAGGTTAGTTTGCATGTGGCCTTGTAATGCTCCATTGCTCTTGAAAGCAGCATTACACACTTTGCAAACAAATTCTTTGTTATTAGAGTGATTGTTACGGTGTTTGATGAGAAGACTCTCACTAAGCGCTACATAGTCACACTGATCACATTTAGGAAACTGACAGTTTCGTGGAGGAGGGACACCATGTTTTGTATACAGATGGTACAGTAAAAGATTGCGCTTGCTGGCACGATGGCCACAGTGCTCGCATATCCGAGCATCAATCTTCTCCATGTGCACATCCTGGAGATGACGCCTGTATAAATAATATGTTTCAAAGTGAATGGGTTCTTCATTTGAACCACATGAATGGCACAACCATGGTCCTGTTGTGTTCTCAGCTCCTGATGCAGGTTTCTGTCCTCCAAGCTCTGACAGTGGCTCCACATGACCTCCATGTTTGAGGATTACAGCTGGTTTGCCTTTGCCTGCCACGTCTGATTTTAGGACTACATATGATACTTTTGACTTCACCATCTAAAAAACACAACAAAAACAATAAATAATTAAGATTTCAAACTCAAGAGCATTTTATGTATAGGGGAAACTGAATACAAGCCTATTTACAATATCAACTTTTGGGCACTGTTGATTAAACAGAATGTTTGTTTGTTTGTTTGTTTGTTTGTTTCAAATGGTTTGATGTGGTCCTCCATTTTCGCCCATCTTGCGCCAATCTCTTCATTTCCACATATTTTTTACAGCCTTAAACAGCATACTGTACAATTATTCCAATTCTGTAAGTACATTCCCCTGGAAGAGTAACAAGAGAGGGAACTATTATTTGTTATGAACATGATGGAGAAGTAGAAGACCTCCACCCAGACATGAAAGGTATATTGAAGAAGCAGTCACAGACAGCTGACAAAGGGTGGTTCTTCAGCTAGAGGGTTTGGTAGTTGGTTAACAATTCCTCACCATAAAAGAACATGTTACAAAATGTTACACAAAGTCTTTGGGTATGTTCTAAAGGTAAGAAAGTTTCTGAACAAAAGCTAAACTGTTGCGGCTCACATTATGCATCTGCATGGCCACCTTCAGACATAAGTAGTTAGGTGGCATTTGTGTATCTATCTTCATTCAATGACTGTAGAATGCAATTAAGATGTAACTGCACTTCCTCAGAGCAAGTATGAAGATGAATGTTTTGTGGGATGTTTCAGTGTATAGTGTTGTATAAGTATACCACTGTTCCAAAGGTGCTTGATTTCTTCATCATCAAGGTGATGACTCATCAATAATTCATATTTTTTAAGTCAAAACATTCTCAATCGCATTTTGTTTCCAAATCCTTGCTACTTATGCTCTATTTCACTAGTCGAAATTCTGAATCCCATATACCTATACTGAGATGAAGACAGTCAAAGAAGGATGCATTTTCCTCAGCACTGTTATGTTGGTAATTATTTTGCTGAAAGACATAGTAGCCAACATGCAAAATTTGCGTTCAAAACACAGTCTCCAGTACAAATACTAGCCTATGAAACAAAACATAATATGAGGGTCATAAGAGACATCCATTCTACTCTAACAAGCATATAGTAAAATTTATCAATGTTTTCCTTCACACATACATCTGGTAATCTGAAGAAACAACTGCATAAAATTATTACCAAACTTACATGAAAAGTAAATCACAATAAACAGGATCTCACAGTACCTTGCTTGCATCTCCATCCATGGGTACCACTGGAGTGACCTGAGCTCCACCACGCTGCATAATTTTCAGCCTGATATTTTTGTTGTTCTTCACCAGGTGAGGGTACTTCTTCAATACTTCAGTAATTATTTTTGCATGGTTGGACAGGTTTCCTGCGTTGGAAACAGTTCCTCCGATAGATGCTATATTACTATCAGCACGTGTAGGTAATGGTCGTTGCCCATCATCAGAGCGACGTATTTTAGAAGCACTGGCTGCAGCAGCTGCGTTCTCTTTTCCTTCAGGTGATTTTGCATCCAACAGAAAGCGAACCTTTAAAATGGAAGTTAAAATTTATTTTAATTCTTGGACCACATCTTATTAATTTACATGTTAGTACACATGTTAGCAGAGATAAGGCTCAGATGTAAACTCCACTGATTGTCATTAAGAAATTTCTAAAAGTAAAGTGATTTTAAAATCATTGTATGTATTTTTTTGTAAAATGTACTGAATGCCCTCAGGGGGTTGTTAGTCCCCCATCGGGCGCCTCCCCAGGTTGCGGATAGGGGAATGCTTCCCAGATATGGGTGGTACCAGGGAAATCAAATACCCGGGGCGGACAAAAACTAGCATAGTGGAGGGCAGCAGCGACCACTATTACCAACTTGAAGCGTAAAGGAAATGATCCTGGACCGGTTCGAGGCTGGATTACCACAAGCATGGCTGGAGCAGCTTTAATGGTTGTGGTACTGCGATGTGGAAAGCAAATGGAA